AAATAAGAGTGGAAGTTTAATATTTCACTAATCAGATTTTTTTTCATTTCCTAATTAATTTAAAATTATTTAATAACTATCTCTACCTAAAATCACGTAATTCAAATTTTAGAAACTGTATTTTCTTTAAAAACTCCTTGCACGTCCATTCCATAAAACCGTCATTTCCATACCCACGTCCCTCACGTATCCCATTTTTCAATTAAATCGGTGTTCATCTAAACCGTGTTCATCCAATCGGACGTTCATCACTATCGTTCTCCAGCGATTCCCCGAACAACTTCTTTCACTGTCGGTCACATGTTTTTTACATTCCTTCCCAAAGCAGTGTTCACAGTTTAACCGAAATATTCTAAAACTTCAACGATGACTTGTTCATGCAGTGGGAAACGTAGGGAGAAAACTGGAACCCACGAGTCGGGAAGAAGAGGTACAAGGAAGTTGGATGAAGTGCAGAAGGAATCATCCTTTAAAAGACAAAAATCCAGAAGTTCGATCGCAAAACAGTCGTCGAAGAAGGTGGTTTTTGATATTTTTCAATTGTTCACTTATTTCGAGCATAACTATCTTCATTTTAATCGATGGGTAATGTGTATTGATGAAGTATTTTTGAATTTGTGATGTATGTTGTGTTGAATTTGTAATCGAAATGCCTGATTGTAGTAAAGGTTTTTAATGTTTTTTTCAAAAGTGGTTGTTCATTTGTGAATTATGGAACGCTATTGTGTCGTTCTGTATGTGTGTTGTTGATTTCTTTTTTGGTGGAAGGGATCTGTGACCTATATGTTGATATTTGTGACTACTTGGATTTTCACCTGTGACCAAACTGATGAGTTTTATTGTGATCGTTGTTGTAGGCCTGGAGATACATTATACCCAAGAAGAGTTGGTTTCCGGGTAAAATTACAATTACCCCCATCAAAGGTGTGGTGTCGAACTTCAAAAACAATCTCAATGAAGCCCAACGTCGAATCCTTCAGAATACGTGTTTCGCTCACTTCCTGCAATGCGAGGAAATTGTTATCCAATCGCAGCTGATACACTACTTTCTGCTGAGACAAGTGCAACAACCTAATGAGAGTGAGTTGTGGTTCAACATAGCAGGAAGATTCGTACGGTTCTCAATTTCAGAATTTTGTTTGGTGACTGGTCTGAGATGCGTCGACGATGATGACATAAGTAGGATGGAGAAGACTCCATCACGATTGAAAAATTTGTATTTTTCAACGTTGAAAAATGTTACTCATGAAAATATCAAGGACGCATTTTTTGGTTCTACTGACATTCCGGATGAGGATGTTTCCATGCTAGGTGCATTGTATTTCATAACGTCTTATCTATATCCGAGAGACTACAAGAAGGCTGTGGATCACTTCTTTTTTGTACTAGTTGAAGATTTTAGTGCGATGAATGTGTTTCCATGGGGTAAGTCGCTGTTCGACAAACTAGTAAATTCATTGAGGGAGGGGTTGAGTAAGAGATCAACACATTACAGACTCAGAGGCTTGCTTGTAGCCTTTCAAGTGTGGATTTACGAGACAATTCCCAGTCTCGATGGATACACGGCGAGAAGGATTTCTAGAGTGTATCCCAGGATAATGAACTGGACAACCGATGATCACCCTTTGGCTGCGAAGCTTGAGGGACCTGAATGCTTCTCCAATCCGGACGTAAGTGACCACCGATGCGGTTTCAAAATATTAAACTAGCACATTTTTTTCATGTTCCAGATCATATTTCTTAGGTCACAAATATATTTCGTTAAGCACAAATTGCATTCTCGAAGTCACAGATCATTTCATACTAGGTCACAGACATTTTCACGGCGCCATTTGCCCTTGTTATATCACAATTAATGGAAACAAATTGAATATGTGTGATGTGCAAAACTATATCTGTTTGTTCATACATAATTTTTTATTGTTGACATTGCACTTTTTGTTGTGATATGAATGGCAGTTGGAAATATGTGACCTGGACCCCCCACCAACTGAAATGGCAATACCATACATGAGTCAGGTGCAGTATGAGAAACCTATCCTACCCGATCGGTCACATGGGGAGAAGA